CTCTCTCTCTCTCTCTCTCTCTCTCTCTCTCTATATATATATATATATATATATATATAAAAATAAACAATAAAAACAAACAATTGCAAAAGTATCTTTCCGAAAAAGTTCAGTAAGAAATTCAGTTAATAGGTATTTAGTATCCACATGTCTGTAAAAGCACAGAAGTCATTTTTCATTGCCAGCATGCCTAATGTTTTATGTATCTAGTCTTGTTTTTTTCTTCTTTTGGAATTCATTCTAATTCTCGGGAGTAAAGCAAATTTCTGAGTAAGTACTGCTTGACATTTACCTTTACATACATGATAGATATTTGAAAACGAACATCTGTCAATGCTATAGCATTAAATTTAAGTGTATCTTATTAGCCATGCAAATAGCTTGGCCCTGGGATCTTAGCAGCATCTCTCTGACATTCAAAAGTTCGCAAATAAAGAAATTTCACTTATCAATTTACTTAACTATTACCATTGTTCAAAAGACATATAAAAAGGATATTGAAGGTTCTGATTATATTAATTCATCTTTTACTCTAGTGAATTTCAACTGATAGTGCAAGAACTTTGGTTTACCACACTGGACAGTGTAAACAGTTAGCTTTTGAAGTTTTAGCTTAATGAATATCCCACAATGGTGTTTAAACAATAGATTGAAATAATCTTTAACAAACAGTTTTCAATGCAACATATTTTGTTTTATATTATAAAGAGGTACCTCAAAGAAAATATTCAGTCTGAAGAATATTTTCCCATGCGTAATTCTCCTACCCTCAATTTTGACTTTGGGGATAAATAAAACATGTTTTGTAATACTTTATTTTCTTCTTTATTTGTTATGTTTGATGCTTCTAAACTTTTTGATCACTCATTTTGAAAATCTTTTTTCTAGGAAAGACAAGTGGTACTTTTTCTCACAATCATGTTTATTAATGACCAATAATTGATCAGCTTCGTGAAACATCAAAAGCCTAATTCTCTATTTCATTTTTGGGGTTGGTGCCCCTATCCCAAGCACTTTATGTCATCCTTGTTCTCTCTCCATTTTCTCAGGATGTTTGCGAACCTACCTGGCTTCCAGAATATGTCAGATCAGTTCTGAAACTGCCTTTAATTTGCCTTCTAACTGCAGTGGTTTGAAGTAGACAGAATAGAGTGAGCTTTAATGGTATCACTTCCCTATTTTCACACTTTGCTTCCCTGCTCCCAGTGTTGCCCCATGTTCTGGAGTGGGAGTGATGTAGGGCTACCCAGGATGGAGGATTTTTCTTTATCCTATAACCTTTCTGGGTCCTTACAATACTAGAAGTGTCACACTGGGGCCAGAACGTCATTGAAAATCAGCAGTCCAAGAGTTTTCAGAACACTTTTACTTTATACAAAAAGCTCTATTTTGATTTTTTTGTTTGTTTTGTTTTTGTTGGTTTTTCCTTGCAGGTTTGGGTAAGTCCTAAAGTTTTTTTTATTCTGTGGGTGGAGGAGGGGTGAGAAGAGAACAAAATAATGAGTAACTGAGTGACCCCTGCCTCTAGCCATGGGTATCCTTTACAATATTTTGCTGTTCTAGCTTCTAGTCTGGACTACTCACAAACAGCTGTCAGTAAGCAAGCCCCTCCCATCTATTTCTGCATATGTTCTGCAGTCAGCCAGCTATGCCTTGGCTCTAACTACCATATTTACATTGAAGAATGATCCCCATTAAACTCCAAATCCTAGATTTCCCTCCAGAAATGCATGTACTGTGCTGCCTAGCACTCAGTTGGACTATACAAACTTATCTAAACTACATCATTTTATTAATAGAAATGGTAGGCACACATCTTGCTATCCCAGAGGGTGCTTCCCAAACATTTTAGTCCAAACACACTGGCTTAGATAAAACAACAAAAGATGTTAATTAACAACAAAGAGAAAAATCGATTTTAAGTGAAGACATTTAATGAGTCATAGAAGTCAGAAATAGTTTCAAGAAAAATAAAAGGAAAATACAACTTGTGCTTAATTTAACAAACTATGCTAAATTCAAAGGGAGAGTTTCTCATCACATGCTTTCAGCCGCCGTTTGAGCTATGCAAATTGTGTAGCTTATTTTGAGTCAATTTTGAAATAGCTTATTTTGAAGTTTGGTGCTGTTTACAGAGCACTTATTTTGAAATAAATTACTATTCTGAAATATTCCTTATTTCTCATGGAATGAGGTTTACAGTGACATTGGAATAGTGAGCCCATTATATTTTGAAATAATGGGCATGCTCAAAAGACGTAAGATAGCTGTTTTGGGATATCGAAATAGTGCTGCAGCATAGACATAGCCTTACTGACCAAAGTCGGGATACTTCTCTGTTTCAGTGATGGCTTCCTTTATCTCTTCAGGTTCTGTAAAACTATTGGCAGAGAGGGAGATGGGGGAGGGATGTTTGTTTGTAATTTTTAGTGTGTCCCTTTCTTGGTAAACATTTCTAGCTAAGACTCAGAAACCCGCAAATCTATAGGTAAGGATGTTCATTGCTGTTATTCCTTATCTACTGGAGTTTCATTTTTGTTTCCCTTCCTTCCTAATGATTCTGTTTACTATTTAACTGTGAAGTAAGCAGCACATACATTCCTTTCAGACAGACATGTTTGCCAACTTCAGTTCAAAAACTATGGGATCTTGTAATGTCACATACAATTTTATCAGGAGAATATTGACCAGCAAATGATGCATTTTTGGATGATAATTTACAAGGAATACTTTGAACAAGGATTATTGCAACAGTTAAAGTTTACAACTCTCCCAGTTTCACCAGAAGTCTCTTGGAATTGTGCCAGAGGCTGCTGCACCCAGTCTGGAAGATTTTAACCTGCTAAAAGTCCACAGGGCTAAGGCAGACTCCCTGTCTGCTCCACGCCACTCCCAGAAGTGACCGGCACATGTCCTCCCCTGTAGCGATACAGTCCCTAGGGGAGAAAGCGCAGGGGGATCTCTGTGCACTGCCTTCACCCCAAGCACCAACTTTACAGCTCCCACGGGCTAGAGACTATGGCTAATGGGAGCTGTGGATGGGGCAGAGCACAGAAATCCCCTGGCTCCCACCTACAAGCTACTGCCAGAGGGATGTGCTGGTTGATTTTGAAGGCTGTCTGAGATAGGCAACACATGACTGGAACCTGCATCCCTCACATGCTCCTGCACCCTAGTTCTCACTCAGAGCCCAAAGTATACACCCCACATCCAAATATCCTCCCAGAGCCTGCATCCCTCAGTCCCTTCTATACATTCCCACTCATCTCTTCAGTCCTTCCCATAGCCTAAGCCTCTGCCCCAGCCTGCTGATAGTGAGTGAGGGTGGCAGAGAGTGAGCAATGAAGGAATGAGGATGGAGTGAAGGGGAATGTCATCAGAGGGGGCAGGGCAATGGTGTTTGGGTTTGTGCAGATGGACAGTTGGCAACTCTAACAACAGTTTGAAGGATGTGGACACAGGTGTACGTTCTGTGACAGGGAGAGAATGTTGCAACATGGGAGATATAATCTGGTGAAGGAGCCTAGTCATAGGAGAGAATGGAAACTGGAACTGTCATTAAAAGTATGTCAGAATCAGGCAAATAAGTTTAATGTTGGACTGACCCAAAACATGAAACATTACATTGTGTGTTTCCCTGTAAAAAATTTAAAATACTGATCAAATGAAATTTTCCTGTCCAAACAGAATTTGAAGTTGAAAAAATAATGTTCATAGAAATTTCCCAACAAGTTCCTATTATTCTGATTCTTATTATAGGATGAGAGACAACCACTGAGTGCAAACAGAGGGGAGGAGCACAGAGTTACAATTTGGTGATTAGAGACTTGGAGCACAACACGTTACATTAACTTGAGGTATGTGTGTAGGATACAAAGACAGAAAGGTGGAAAGGGATGTTCACACATATGGATACCAGTCAAGAAAGGAAAATTTCTGTTGTGTCATCTTTTCACTTACGCTGTCTCCTGTTTGTTCCTTCCCTTAGTGTGCTACCTCTTCTTCCTTTGTTACATTGTTTTCTGTCCCTCTCATTTCCTGCTTTATGTGCCTCTCTTTTAGTGCTCTGGGATTGGCTTGCAGTGAAATGAAAGTTACTAAAATCCTGCTTTTGCTATTATAAGAAAACACAACAGAAAGTAGCAGGGGAGTAGAAAATGGGTGGGTGTGAAAAGGAGAAAAAAGGAGGAAAAAATCTTTTAACGAACTTTTTACTTAGAGCTCTCCTGTGCTTATGATGCCCTTACTCTTTTTGATTATACAGCCACCATATCAGAAGGAAAAACTAAATTTTGTTATGGTTCTATTTCAGCCGGTGGTAAGCATGTAGAAGCATTCATGCTCTGAGTCTAATCATGCTCTGGGGAGAAGGGCAGGGTGTTACTCCTCCACACTCCTTTCGCTCATCTATATAGGGGGCTTCTTCTATTTCCTGAATGCAAATGGGAGAACCAGCTAGTAGCTTTGATAGTATAATCCAGTGGCACTGGGACCACTGACAAAGGAGAGTGAAGTTTGGTATATGGTCTTAGCTAAGCACAATTTGGATTTTAGTCCATTCTGTACAAAGGTACATGGCTTTAGCCCCCATGGGCATGTCTACACTGGGGAATTATTTCAAAATAATAACTCCCAAAATAACTATTTCAAAATAGCATGTCCACACTACAGGGAAGCCTTGAACAAGGGTGGATTTTGGGAGGGTGGGGGGCGCAGCAGCCGTGTGCTCTGGGTTCTGGCTTGCTTTTCATCCTGTTCCCCAGATACTAAGAGTACGTCTACACTGCAATACTAGTTTGAAATAACTAGCGCTATTCCAAAATAACTTAGTCCATGTCTACAGAGCAGGAGTTATTTCAAAATAGTGTCAAAATACTGTCAAGCTGCAGGACTTCTTACTCCGACTCCTGTAACCCTCACTGTATGAGGATTAATGGAAGTTGGTGGAAGACTGCTCTATTTCAAAATAAGCGCTGTAAAGACGCTCCCTATTTTGAAATAAGATACACAATTGATGTAGCTCAATTTGCTCAGCTTATTTTGAGTTAAGCCCTGCAGTGTAGACACACCCTAAGGGTATGTCTACACAGCAAAGTTATTTCGAAATAACTTTACCAGCATCTACACAGCCAAACCGCTATTTCGAAATGAAATCAAAATAGCAGAAGGCTTATTTTGAAATTGGTAAACCTCATTCCACGAGGAATATTGCCAATTTTGAAATTGCTATTTCGAAATAAGTGCTGTGTAGCTGCTTATTTTGAAATAGGGGGCCTCACCAAGAAAACTCCTCTCCCTCCCCCCTCCCCAGAGCCCTTGAAGGGGTTGACTCTGGCCACAGTGCCTGTGCCAGCTCCAAGCCTGCCAGCCCAGAGCCAGCAGTCACTGCACCTGACCCAGTGGCCCCAGCATGAGCCAGGCAGCCAGTGCCAGCCAGCCCTCCACTGCTCCCAGGACCAGTCTGACAGCTCCCAGGAGGCTGCCAGGGACCAGAAAAGGTGGGCACGTGCCTGCTCCAGTGCCAGCTAGTTCGGACCCCATGCCGCGTGTAGCCGTGTGGCACGGGGTCCGAACTAGCCGGCATTTAAAAATGGCGCCAGCCGGCTTCATGCAAATGAAGCCCGGGAAATTCAAATCCCGGGCTTCATTTGCAACTTCGGATGACTACATTACCCCCGCTAGTTCGAACTAGCGGGGTAGTGTATACATACCCTAAGAGAGTGAGAGGAAAGTACTTGTATTCTGTGCATGCCTCTCACACCTGGCTGGTGAAGGAAGTTGCTGTCCTCCTGCCCCGCTCCCCCCGCACCTGAAATTTCACCCTTGGCCTCAAAATTAGTCTGAGGCAGGGTCCCTGAATGTGGGCACACTACCTCAACTTAGAGCCCCAGGAAGCACTGGAGAGTAATTACTTTCAATGACTGTAATGGGAGTAATTATTTCAAAATAGCAGCAGTGGAGCGTCCATACTACCATTTTTTCAAAATAACTCTTTTGAAGTAAGAGCTATTCCTTGTGAAAAGCAGGAGTTATATTTAAATAACCAGCTCATTATTTTGAAATAACAAGCTTGGTAGTGTGGACATGCATAGTGTAGACCAGAGCCAAGGTCATATTTTCAATCTCTCCTTCTGGCTTTACAGCAGCATTACAAATGCTAGAAAGAGATGCTAGGGTCTTACTTTCTCTATGCATATGCTTGCATGTGAAGCTGAAAACCACTATCACATTTCCCAGAGTTCTTTAGTACACATTATACCTTACCCAGGCACAGTGCCTTTCTCTTCTTCCAGCTCAACAGTGGAGTTGCTAACCGACACCCTCAGTACTGCACACTGGTGCTCAGTGCTATGATTTATGTCTTTGTGTACCCATAAATTGCTGATCTGGGAATTCCACTTTTTTGTGCCCATAACTGGTGTTTATTCAATTGAGTAAGCAGCATTTGTATGCAGCTCTAATCATGAATGTTTTGGAGATCGTCATCAGGCGCTAAATGCAATCCTGTCAGATAGCTGGCAGTGGATTAACTCTGACACCTAATGACATGCCAAAGTGTGACAGAATAAGAACTCGCTGTATACCCAATGTCAATCATTCACCAAGTGCCACTTCAAATGCTTATCCTATTAGGGATGACATCCATCTGCACTGGCATTCAAAATGCTGCTGAGCTTTGAATGTAGAAATGAAAGTAAATGTAAGATGCTCCAGAAAAAAAATTGGTTTTTTACAAATGTAATCCAGAATGTGCTTCTGTCCTTAAGAATTACAGGCCTTCATGATATGGGGAGGCTGACTTCACCCAATGATGGGCTGATTTATTTTGTACCAACAGTAATTACACATAATTTTTCATGATGAAGGAAAAAGAACAAATAACTTTATCATATGGTCAGCCATATGCTACATAGAAAGCCTCCTGTGCATTGTGTATGCAACTCAAACAGAACTCCTTTTTTCCAAAACCGCATATAGGAGTAATAGGTATTTGAGGCCAATTCTGCTATCATGTCATTATAAGGGATGGAGTCAGAAATTTTTACTCTGATGAATAGCAGTTGCTAACTTAGGGCACATCTACACATCAGGGCTAAAGTCGAAATAAGCAACACAACTATAGCTACACTAATTGTGTAGCTTAACTCGAAATAGCTTATTTTGACTTTTGGCACTGTCTACACAGCAGTTATTTTGAAATAGAGAACTCTTCCCCTGACTTCCCTTACCCCTTATACAATGTGAGGGTTACAGGAGTCAGAGTAAGCAGTCTTCTAGCTCGACATTCTTTTGACATTATGTTGAAATAACTGCTTGTGTGTAAACACGGATGACATCAGTTATTCCAAAATAATGCTGCTGTGTAGACATAGCCTTATATACTATCTGCTATGCACAGAGAAAGGGGTTGCTGAATCTGGCCCCATATTATGAAAAACTCCAGCAAAGTCAGGGGAATTATACAAGTGTCAGTGAGATTATTAACTGGAGTCTGAATGTACAATTACCAACTTTAGAGCCTTCTTTGTTCATTTGGGATGAATGCAATACAGGCAACCCAGACTGAATAAAGGAAAGTTAAAATGTCGCAACAGTAAAATAAAAGTATTAAATATAGCTGTTATTTTACTTGTGCACTTTTTTTTAAAAAGTGCTTCAGTTACTTTTATCAGATCTTCTCAAAATATAACAGCATCAAAACACTGAGTACATCGTAGCTTTCAGGGATCACAGATTAGTGTCTGTAGATTTGGTGGTGAGAGAGGTTTGAGTGAGCATATATAGCTGCGCCACGACTAAGCAGGTTACCCATCAAGTGATTTCTGTCATGATGAATTAGACATTCTTGTTAAAATCATGCTTTGACTCCCGCAGAACTTCCCAACACAACTAATTCCTTGCCTGCCAGCACTCTGGGCTGGAAGCTTAGCCACACCAACAACTGAAAATTAGTCACAGCTTCAAAAATTGCTGTATTAGGAGGAGAAGTGTTATCTGCTGTTTTGAATGATGCTGTTATTTCCACATTCCTATAGGTGATTGCTCAGCTCTTAGACCTGCCTTGGGGGTATTGCTGATATTGAGAATAGGGAGGAGAGCATTTCCCTTTTCTTCCATTTTTTTTTCATTAGAACTCATCGAGTTAGACTACACTACCCTAAAACAACGAGAAGTCCTGTGGCAATGAGAAGTCCAGATGCATCTGATGAAGTGGGTCTTTGCCTACAAAAGCTTATGCTCCAATAAATCTGTTAGACTATAAGGTGCCACAGGACTTCTCATTCTTTTTGCAGATTCAGACTAACACAGCTCTCCCTCTGATACTTATACTACCCCAGAAAAACAAGAAGTCCTTGTTCCCCAGAAAGCCTTGAATATGGATGAGGTCACAAGGAAATTTTCAGTCATCTGGCTGTGATGTAGTATAGAAAGGGGAATGAGAATTCATAGTGTAGTGTAACAAATAGTTACTGACAACTTTCCATGAATGTAGCTGTTTGCAATAAGGAGAGGTGTATTTTGTGTAAAATTGCTTGGGTAGGCAGTGTATGTTAAATCCGCATATTTCCAAAGTGACTCACTTCTCTTCACCATGCATGTTTGCTCAGCAGGCCCAGTTCTTTTAAGGAAATTCTAGCAATCCTCAATGAATGGGAAGAAATTGCTATATGTAGAATCTAATGATCCAAACTTTCATTTATATATATGCAAAGTGGATGTAGATTGTAGAATTCAGACAAATATGAATAGTATTGTTTTACAACCCCTTTGTGTTGATGCAAATGACTACAAAAGAGGCAGGCATGGACAATATGGCCCTTCCCCTTCATTTCTTAACATCATGTGTATAATTCTCTTCTGAATTGCCTGCACTGATTTTTTTTAAATCTATGACTCTACACAGATCATTGATCAGTACCTGGAACCTGAGAAGCAAGGAGAAGAAGACTGAAGAAGAAAATGCATATATTTTCTTTTGATCATGATATTTATGCCAGATAGAATTTAACCAATCTGGTTTCCCTGATTTATTTACTCAGCAATGATTTTATTATTTACAAATTGAACAGTTAGTCCTTGATATGCCGTTCAAATTCAATGGTCCAAAAAATCATATTGCTACCAGTGCCACTTGGAGGTCAATGTTATCTGCACTAGTAAATAACTTTGATAAAACCTGTAGTATTACTGGCTTGCTCAAAATTCAAGCAATGTGGGGCAAATGCCATAATTAGCCGTCTTCTTCTTAAACCCTTGTATTCCAAGTATAAGATAGGTCATTTACAAGTCTCCTCCACTTCACTCTGTCTTGAGACAAAACTTCTAGCTGATTTCAGGAGTACCCAGTTGTTGGCCTTCAATCTTAGTAGATCTTCTCCACATTGTCCAAGGGCTTCCTCTTTTGCATTTTCCTTGCGGGTTCCATGTGAGAGCTTGACAGACTATGCTGGATGATGATTTTCTGAGAGTGTGGCCTAGCCATCCCCACTTTCTTCTCTTGATTTGAATGTCAGGTGGTTCTTGTCCTGCTCTGTTCCAAAGCTCCTCATTTCTGACAAAATCTTGACATTTGATGTAAAGAATGTACCTCAGGTATATGTTTATGAATGCCTGTAGCTTGTTATTTGAAGACTTTTTAGTATGCCAGTTCTTGTATCCATACAAAAACACATTTGCAGTTTACCGGTGACCGCAAAGTGAGGAAAGGCAGGCACTGTAGAGGGCTGTCTGGGTCATGCAGGATGTCCTGGGAGGATGGTGGTTGGCCGCTGTAGGCCACAAGAGAAAGAAGGGACCTGTGGAGGGCCCTCTCCTCCTTTCACGCCAAAACCCATCACCCCCGTCTGTTTCCCCCTTGGAGAACAGCATGCTGGCACTCGACCTATGCGGATAAGGTTCCCTCCCCCCCGCTACCACCACTTTGGGTGCTGTGTGTAGAGAAGGCGGGGACAAAATTAGCAGAATTGGGCCTTAAATAACTGGAAAGGTTAAATATCATTTGTTAAAAAAAAAAGAAATCTAACCCTATCCTCCAATTTAAGCTGCAAACCTGCTAGCATCCAGTCTATTATCATTTGTACAAGGGCATGAGACACTTGACTTAAAATGTTTGACACTCCTAAAGTAGAGGCAACAGGTTTATTCAATGTTAATTATTTTGAAATGTTTTCTTAAAGAGAGTTTCTAACACCATAAGCCCTAATTTGGATACTAGGGCTGGGCATTAAAACTTCGCTTTGAGTTTGATGAGCTTTGTATCAGGCCCCTGATGATCACCCTAAAAGAGGAGGAAAGGAGAACATTTTTATACAGCAAGGAACATTCTTTTTGTCTAGGGTCCTTTTTGTGTTTGATGTGCCTTTATGGAAAAAAAATTCTTTTAAAATGTGACCTTTCATTTTCATAGACCAAATTGTCCTTTTGATAGATTCTGCAAAGAACAAATCATGACAATTATTTCTTCCTGTGGTAAAGATTGTGCTATCACAAATGAAACACAGTGGGCCAATTTTTTTCACTACCTCTTTTAAGGCTGTTGAAACAGTTTTTGCTGCTTGTGAATTTTGCTCTGTCGCTCTGACACAGTGCCTGCAGTAACTCAGGATATGTCTACACTACCACCCTAGTTCAAACTAGGGTGGCTAATGTAGGCAACCGAAGTTGCAAATGAAGCCCGGGATTTAAATATCCCGGGCTTCATTTGCATCTTGCCAGGGGCCGCCATTTTTAAAGCCCCCGTCATTCGGACTCCGTGCCCGCGTCTACACGCGGCACGGAGTAGGCAGTTCGGATTAGGCTCTCTAATCCGAACTACCGTTACACCTCGTGGAACGGTAATACGAAGCAGGGAGGGGTTGCAACTGCTTTGGATGATAGGGTCATAATTTAAAATAATCTGGACAAACTGGAGAATTGGTCTGAGGTAAATAGGATGAAGTTTAATAAGGACAAATGCAAAGTATGCCACTTAGGATGGAGCAATCAGTCTCACACATACAGAATGAGAAGTTACTGTCTAGGAAGTAGTACTGCAGAAAGGGATCTAGTGGATCTCAGTGGACCACAAGCTAAATATGAGTCAACAGTGTGATGCTGTTGCACAAAAAGTAAACCTGGTTCTATGATGCATTAACAGGAGTGTTGTGAGAAAGACACGAGAAGACATTCTTCCACTCTACTCTGCACTAATTAGGCCTCAGTTCAAATATTGTGTCCAGTTCTGGGCATAACATTTCAAGAAAGATGTGGAGAAATTGGGAAAGGTCCAGAGAAGAGCAACATGAATAATTAAAGGTCTAGAGAACATGACCTATGAAGTAAGACTGAAAGAACTGGGCTTGTTTAGTTTGGAAACGAGAAGATCAAGAAGGGACATGATAGTGGTTTTCAGGTATCTAAAAGGGTGTCACAAGAAGGAAGGAGAAAAATTGTTCTCCTTGGCCTCTGATGATAGGACAAGAAGCAATGGGCTTAAACTGCAGCAAGGGAGGCTTAGGTTGGACATTAGGAAAAACTTCCTAACTGTCAGGGTGGTTAAACACTGGAATAAATTGCCTAAGGAGGTTGTAGAATCTCCATCTCTGGAGATATTTAAGAGCAGGTTAGATAGACATCTATCAGGGATGGTCAGATGGTACTGGGTCCTGCCAATAGGGCAAGGGACTGGACTCAATGACCTATTGAGGTCCCTTCCAGTTCTAGTGTTCTATGATTCTATGATTCTTTCTCTACACAGGTCATAATTTGATAGAGCTTAATGATATTCCCTCTTAACCATCTCTTTTCCAAGCTGAAAAGTCCAGGAGTTATGAATCCTCTTATGACAGCTGTTCCACACCACTAATCATTGTGTTACCTTTTCTGAACCCTTTCCAATTCCAATATATCTTTTTTGAGCATGGGTGACCACATCTGTTAATGAGAGCTATTAAAAGATTAAAGTAAATAAAATATATAACAGATTAATTAAACTTTGTAAGTACAAAATATTAACAGAGGTGTAGTAATCTGCCAGTGTTTTAGAGTTTTTTCATAAGTTACTCAGGGCTTCCCAAAATGGCTTTTAGTGACCTCTGTCTGGTATTTGGAATGCCCCCTCACAACATTCAGCTAAATCAAAGATTCATAATTGCTCTCAGTGTAGCTTTTTTATAGTTGAAAACAGTCTAGCAAATGCTTTCATCACCACTGGGTTTTGCTTTGTTGACTAAATGCAGAGGAAGTTTATAGATCTTCCATTGACCTTCACATAGTGACCTATGCTCTAAAGCTAACAACCCTCTCATTCAAAGTTTTAGGGCTTCAGTTCTGGTTGAAGGGCCACTTAAAGTTAATGGGAACACAATGTAATAGACAGGAAAGATTCTTCATGAGATTTTACACATCAAGTAACTTTACATCCAAACATTTAAATACAGGCCTTTTGACCTAAGATAGCTAGTAGAATTACCATATATAATGTAAAAGTAATTGCAGAACAACAAAAAATATATAGCAACAACAAATTAAACAACGGACATCCATTAAATAGAATGTATGTAGATAAAGACAAAGCCAAATGAACATCAAGTCTAAGAAATGAATTATCTAGATATAAAAATAGAATCTTTTAATATTCCTTTGAAGTTCACCTATCAATGAACTGGTACATTTAACCCTTCTTTGAGGTTTTGACCTGACCTATACAGTTGCAAGTGCCAGTGTGGGGGAGGGGAGGATGTCAGCTGAAGTTAGAAGTAATACATTTTTGCTTTAAAAGGGAATACATACAGTAAACACAAGATAAAGAAAGATGACATATATATGCAGATCAAATGGATCTGCATGATATATTTGAAAGCTTTTCCCAGTGCAAAAGTCCCTTAGGGCATGTCTACACTAAGAGATGATTTCAAAATAACTTATTTCAAAATAATAACACCTGAAATAACTATATTGAAATAGCAGGTCTACACCACAGGGAAGCCTCAAAATTGGTCAGTCTCCCTTAATGTGTACATGCCACCTTGACTTAGAGCCCCAGGAAGCATTGGGGAGTAATGGCTTGGAATGACTCTGGGCAGTAGTTATTTCGAAATAGCAAATGTAGAGCGTCCACATTCCCACTATTCAAAAAAAATATTTTGAAATAAGCATTAATCCTCATGGAAAGCAGGAGTTATTGTTTTGAAATAACCCGCTCCTTATTTTGAAATAGAGAGGTGTGGTAGTGTGGACACTCCACTTGTTATTTCGAAGTAATGGGAGTTATGTTGAAATAACTCCCTTGTGTAGACCAGGGCTTAAAGACTAACATTTCAGTGCAATGTTATACTAGATCTTCCATAAAGTAGAGCATCACCTAAATAATACGAACCTTCAATATCTCTCACCTCTCCCCGTCCCCCTCCCCACAAACACAGAAAGAGACACACTTCTTTTTCTTCAGTGAAAATGGAAAACTATTTGGGTACTCTAGGGGTATGTCTAGACTGCATCCCTCTATCAGCAGAGGGATGCAGATTATGCAGGTTGACATTGCAAATGAGGCAGGGATTTAAATATCCCACGCCTAATTTGCATAAACATGGCTGCTGTGGTTTGCTGACTCTGCACTTTGTCTGCAAAAAGCGGCAGTCTAGAGAGGATCTGTCGAGAAAGAAAGCCTTTTTTGACATATCCCTTATGCCTCCTGTAAGGAAGTTTACAGGATCTGACAAAGTGCTGAGTCGGAAAAACATGGCAGCCATTTTTATGCAAATTAGGCACAGGATATTTAAATCCCTGCCTCATTTGCAATGTCGACCTACCTAATCTGCATCCCTCTGCCGACAGTTTTTTCTATTTACTGTGTTATATGAACAAACAACTCTACATGTAACTGTAGCAATTTTCAATAATTATTGTGCCACTGTAGAGATACTATTGTTAAGGATCTATCAGTACTTCCATAATACCATAAACTTCTGTTTGTTCATGATAAAGAAAAATTTCCTCAGGGCTGACACTCTGCAGTACAAAGTCCTAGTCTGAGAGAGGGTATTTTTGTAAATCTTTCAAAATCGAGACCCAGTTCTTGCAAAGCCTCACACTTTCAAGTAGTCTCACTGAAATCAATGGAACTCAGTCAGACTAGTAATGATTAATGACATGAATAAGAGTTTTCAGAATCCACTTTGGATGTGGTGGTCATTTCACAGGTTAGGACTGAATATACAAACCCCCCACACATTGTTGAGTACTTATATGAATATGGTACTTACCATGAAAAAGGGCTCAGTCATGTGTAGAAGGCAGAATTGGAAGGTCCATTATTATATGACTTATCAAAAAATCCCTACCACTTCACCTGCCCTTTCCACTTTGATATTTCGCTTTCAAAACCCACTTTCTTCAGCTTTCCAAAACTAATCTCTCCTGGCTGTCAGCTTCAGTTTTCACATCTTTAACAGTC